CATTAGTCTCTTATAAGGTAGGCAACACTTTGTAGATGAGACTCTACAGAGGAATGACTGGAAAACTTAATGGAAAAAAAATATGACATCTAACGGCGAAAACATGTTTTCCACTACAGCCTTCTACATTTTATTTAAAACAAACCCCCAAAGAGGTAGTGTACAAAAAATTGACTGAACAAGGAAGTTTAAAGATACAACTTTTCTAAAAGGGGCTCTTAATTGACTTTAAGCTCTAAGCCTGTTTCCTTATCTATAACAAGTATCTTTATGCAATTTATTTGTCCTATGAGAGATCTAACTAGACATTAAATTCTTACTTTTGGGAAAGTTAATTTTGCCTTTACACTTTTCTAAATCTACTCTTTATTAAAGTCAAATTAAAAATAGATCGTTAAATCTCAACACTGAAACATACTAAAAGTTGTACTTTCAGCATATTCTTCATATTACTGCTACTTCAGTTATAAACCTAGAACGTGGGTCTGTTTAGTCATACTTTTAGACGTGAATCAGGTTGAAAAAGAACAGAGAATAAACAGCAGTGGTAGCTTAATGATGTGATAAAATTAAACGCTCATCTTCCTAATGGCTTACAAATTTGTACTTCTAATACAGTCAAATTTGAGCCCAATCTTACTTCATGCATTTCAACCTTACTTTCATACTTTCTTCCAAAAGCAGCTGCTTTCCATATACCCTTGCTGGGATGAAATGAAGCCTACAGGTCCATGCTGAATGTGTAATCAGGAAACTACATGTGTAGTATGAGTAGTAAACATGGACAAGAATAAAACTTTTTCAAGAATGCTTTTGGAGGCAAGAACACTGATCAAAAGCCTTAGGAGCATAAAACTGCACTAATAAGCTTACAAAAATCAGTGTAATTTTTTCCCACTTATACAACTTTCATGGCCCTTCTTTCTTTTAAATTTTCTCTTTATTATATCATAGTGAAACCAATGTTAGATTTTAGAAGGGATCAGAAATATTTATGTATTTGCTAATATCTATATCATGGTTTTTAAAAATATCTATAAAAGATACTACTATATCTGCCTTTCAGGTTTCTAAAAAGTATAAAAGCACTCAACGTTGAACTATGCAAATATAAATTATTATCTTGAAGAGACAAACAACTTCATCTGCACTAGCTGAAGTCTACCAGAAATGCACTTTTGAGCAATGAAATTGTAGTAACAGGTATTTGTCACATCACCTTAAATTTTTTTTTAAATCTAAGAACAGAAACTTTGACTCATTTAAAACTCTTCATTATTAGGTCCACAGGGTGAAGACTCAAGATTGCCCAATTTCTTGCACCATACAAAATTTAGAAATTTACAAACATTCCTGTCTCATATATCTCTCAATTTAAAAAAAATCCCCAAACTTTAAACTGACCAAAACACCGATGATGTGTAAGATAATTCCCTACCATAACAGTACCATTTTTACAAGTGCTAAAATTCAATGTAAAGATGCTTGGTATTGTTAGTTTTTTAAAACAAGTTTTACCTGTGAAGTACTTTTGTAATTTAAATGTTTCAAATATAGGATAATATTAACTCCAAATATATTTAATATAAGGTACACACAACCTTTAATATCTATAGAACACTTAATACATTGGGTTCTATTTTTTATTAAATGGGGTAGTTTTCTTAAGTTAAGGACAGAACAAGTATAATAATATTTCAAAACATCCCATTCTAAACCATTTCCAAATATAATGCAACTTCTTTCTCCAGACCATCTGAGTTAACATATAATTCCAATTTAATACAAACTATAGAATACTTTTCTAAAAAGGTAGTAATTGAAAGTTTTATTCTAAAGCCAACAACTTTGTTACATTTCAGTAATATTTTGATCAGCTACTTTACCTGGGCTCCTTCTCCATGGTATAAGCAATTCACCACATTGTCTAAAAGGTTGATATCCAGTTTTTGGCTGAAATCGAGCAGCTGGCGAGCTGCATGGTCTGCTAACATTGTCATAATTGCGGGCATAGATTACTGAAAATAAAGAAAAAAATTTAAGGTGCCTAATGAAGTTTTGATATTATCAGTCAAAAAGTTTCTACTCAAGTCATTTTACCTTCAACCATGTTCTCACAAATCTATTAGTATTTTAGAGATTTTACCCAAACAACTGAAATTATAAAGGCAAGTACTGATATTACTTAGGTATTCCATAACTGCATTAGTCATTAGGGTCCACTTTATTTTTAGACCCCAGAAAAAGCATATTTTTCTTTCTATTAACATGTATATAAACAATTACCTTAACCCTTTTAAAAAATGATTATTAAAGAAATTATGACCCTATAAACTGATACAATTCAGTCTTGATCTCAAAATTTTAAGTACAGATGAAATTCAAATATATGGGTTTTTTCCCCCTCTTCCTAAGTAGGGTTTAAGCAGTTCAGTAAAAGCTCACTTTCCCTTATTTCATGTTACCTTAACTTTTAAGATATACTGAAGATGCTGATTAGTTGTCCTACATACAGCAATGATTTAGCAGGAACAAGTCAAACAAGCCTGGTATCTTTAACCTGTACAGAATTTAAGCTTCTTCACTCAATTAAACCATCTATATTTGTACTTTCATCCCTGAATGAATTTGGGGATTGAAATTACAAGCATTCAAAACTCCTTGAATGTATGGTCTAGAAAAAAACTTCACGGTAATATGTCAAACAAGATTTTTAAAAATTTCCATGTATTCATTGCCAAGCAAGCTGTAAAAAGCTTGCCAACTATTTTCTAAGTAAAAACAAATTGTATCGTAACAGATAAATGAGCTCCTTCACCTCAAATAATGCACTGGCTAAAAGCTACTGGTTCATATGCAATGTTACCCTTTTAAGAGGATTCTACTCCAACATGCTGGCATACATTCACATTTTTCTTGCCCAGCATTATAAAAAATCTTTCCTGTTGCTTTTTCTTCAAAGCCAGGGCCACTTAAGTCTCATTGTCTAAATCAGTACTCCTGAACCTTTTTTGGGTCAAAATACTTCACAATCAGAGGAACAGGATAGCTCCTGCCAAATCATTTAAAATTCCCAATTTTGTATACAGAAGATTCAGGACACTCTGAAAGCCATGCATGAAACCTCAGGTTAAGTACCTCTGGTTTACTGTACTTAGACCCAAGAAGGTCAGATGGTCATCTCTATTTCTCCCACTCTTAACCTTCCAAGATCCGGCAATGGGTGGCTAATTTGATTACATTTTGTTTGGACAAACTAGCTTGATAGGAAAAAGACATTATTTCTTGGCTAATTTATAAATTTTAAAACGTTCTTAATAAAGGAAGCAATTTCAATTTTAACTCAAATGTTTTATTTAACGATAAGATCAGTTACAACAAAGCAAAAGTGTGAAAGATCAGTCAGGTTAGATATAATGTAAAAATTGAGAAATTGAGAAGTTAAGAGTTCAAGGATTTTTATTTCTCAAGTCTTTTGATCCATTATTGACAGTAAAAACTAGTAAGATTTCAAAAATTTCTACAGCAGTTATTAAACATTTTTTACACAGAATAACTGACATACACAATCTTTGATCTAAACGCTAACATAAAAAAGGAAATACAAAGTCTACAAACGAAAGCGTAAATTTCCCCCCTTCAAGTGCCGTACAATTTTAAAGGACCAGAACAATCTTTAAAATTGAGGCTGAAAAGCAAGTTCCACAAAGAACTAAGATCTGCGTTTCAAAAGCTTTCTATTTGAGGGTAGGCGGGTAAAAATTGAACAAACTTTTCTCCTACTTAGTCCTACTTATAATGCAATAGACAAAATCGTAATAAAGTGCCTAAAAAGTTTCAAACACGTTGTCCTTACAGAGTTCGAGACAAAATTCCGTGAAAAATCAGGTTTAGAACAGAAGCTTGTGTTAAATACAACAGGGTATGTCACCCTTAGAATCAGGGCTATCTTCGAAATGACCAATCTTATTCCTGAACTGTACGTAGTACAGAAATGGCGGCTTTCTGGTCAATGCCAAGCACATTTAGTCTTCCAAATCAGCTTCCAAAACATTCTTTCCACTAACAGCAGTGTCCCGCACGCTGAAGATACACAATCAGGCGGACAGCAAACAGCCACAGCGGGAGAGGTTAAAGAAACCACAAAAGCTTTCTCTTCTCCTTGGACACTCAATCCTAAAATCCACTCACTGTATAACAAATACACAAGGTATTATCCAGCCATGTGGTGGCTCTACAAGTGACTACCAAAATACCTTCACTGCCATTTCAAACTGAACAGACAGGCAGCTACACACTGTCAGCTCCCATCCAAAAACCAGAAAATCATAACCGTTGCTTAATGATAACTACATAGTAGGTCAAGTCGCTACAAGGAGAAAGACTGCTATTTCAGGTGTGTAGGCAATTGCCTGCTTCATTCAGTAGAAACACACCTCACTAAGGCCCGCCCTCCCCCGTCTTCCCACCCGAACCGATTTGCAGCACTTCTAACTATAGCACACAGGAGCACGCACTCACCCCGCCCATACTCGGAGGAGGCATTTAGACCAGGCGCCTGAAGTTCACCGCCCCATTCTCTATGCAGCATGGCCTCTGCGTGATCAGAGGTCCGGACTGGGCAAATCTTTAATGCTTCCTCTAGTACACCACTTCCTCCCACCCACCTCACACTCAGATATCGTAATGAAGGAGAATCAGGGTATCATCCACTGTACAGAGCCAGCAGAATGATTCGATCACTTAACACATGCAAGTCCCCGAAAACTACAGCACCGAACCTCATCTGTAGATTCCCGAAAAAACTATTCTTTCCTACTTCTAATTTTACTCAGCAAAAAAAAAAAAAAAAAAAAAAAAAAAATCTGAGTTTCCCTGCAGGAGGAGCAGGGACTCAACAGCCCCTCCCTCCCGCGATCCCAGGCTCTCCACCGAAGGGCCACGTGATGCAGGCGGACGTTTCAATGCTGCTGCACTAAATATTTCTGGAAACTTCCACTCCTAATAATTTACAGAGATGTTCCTGAAATCATCTCAACTTCTCCGCAGCCCCTTGGGCCGGGGAAGGCCTTCCACCCCCGCACCGGGCCCCTCTTCACTTTACACTCCTTGCCTTCCTCCACGGCTACCCGCACACGCCAGAGACCCAGCAAGCGCTCCCCTCCCGCGGCCGCCTCCCTGCCTCCATCCCCCAGCGGCAGAAGCGGCTCCATTCAATCGCAGGCTCTGCTGTGGGCCCGCCGCCGCCTCCCGGGCTCGCCTCCCGCGGCCGCCGCCGCGCCCCACGCCAGCCTCCTCCCGCCGGGCCGCGCCGCCGCCCGACCCCCGGCCCCGAAGACACAGTCGACTTACCCAGAGATTGAACCAACTGCTTCTTCCTTCCTTGTCGGGGGATTAGGACGAGGGAAGATGGGGAGGGGGGAGAGGGGAGGAAATCAAGGTGGGTTTCAGTTTTCCCACCTTAAAAAAGAAGATTAAAAAAAACGAAGAGGATAAGGGCAAAAAAAGCTCAACAATATTTACTATTTCAGGGACACCTCCTCCCGACACACACACCCACCCGACCCCCCAAAAAAAGAAGGGGAATTAATCTGTGGAATAAATGCTCCCGCCTGGCTGGGGAGTGAGGAAAGGGGGAGGGGAACGGGGTCAAGTCCCAAAGATTCAGCCCCAGAGGGACCCTCCAGCCACAGGCGGCAGCAGAAGCGGCAGGAGTAGGGGGTGTAGAGTCCACACGGTCGGGGGACGCTCTGCTGCCAGCTGCAGTCCGACTCCCCCCTACCAAAATACGGCTCCCTCTCTCACGCGGCTCCGGCGCTGGGCCCCCCCACCAAGCTCGCCTAAACTTTCCCCCCTTTCGCTCCTCAGCGACTGGTCGGTTCCCCCCCTCCCCTCT